TTAAATATAAATGAATAAATTCTGTCCTCCTGTGGACTCACCACCTGCAGAGGGAGTCATAGGGGTCGGGTGCAGAGAGGACTAGGTGGCGGTCGAGGTGGGTTGCCTCGACGGCCTGGTCCGCTTACACAGCCTCTGGTTGTTGGGACGTGGAACGCCACCTCGCTGGGAGGGAAGGAGCCTGAGCTTGTGCGGGAGGTTGAGCGATATTGGCTAGATATAGTCGGCCTCACCTCCACGTACAGCCTGGGCTCTGGAACCCAACTCCTAGAGAGAGGCTGGACGCTCCATTTCTCTGGCGTTGCCCGCGGGGAGAGACGGCGGGCTGGAGTGGGCCTGCTCATTGCCCCCCAGCTTAGCCTCCACGTGTTGGAGTTCACCCCAGTGAACGAGAGGGTCGCGTCCCTACGTCTTCGGGTTGGGGACAGGTCTCTCACTGTTGTCTCGGCCTACGGGCCCAACAGCAGTGCAGAGTACCCGGCCTTCTTGGAGTCCCTGGGAGGGGTATTAGATAGTGCCCCGACTGGGGACTCCTTTTTTCTACTGGGGGACTTCAACGCCCACGTGGGCAGCGACAGTGAGACTTGGAGAGGGGTGATTGGGAGGAATGGCCTCCCCGATCTGAACCCGAGTGGTGTTCTGCTGTTGGACTTCTGTGCTAGTCACAGTTTGTCCCTCACGAACACCATGATCGAGCACAAGGGTGTCCACATATGCACGTGGCACCAGGACACCCTAGGCCGGAGGTCGATGATCGACTTTGCAGTTGTATCATCAGACCTCCGGCCGCGTGTTCCGGACACTCGGGTAAAGAGAGGGGCTGAGCTGTCCACCGATCATCACCTGGTGGTGAGTTGGATCCACTGGCAGGGGAAGAAGCTGACCAGACCTGGCAGGCCTAAGCGTATCGTGAGGGTCTGTTGGGAATGTCTGGTGGAACCCTCTGTCAGCAGGGTGTTTAACTCCCACCTCCGGGAGAGCTTCTCCCAGATCCCGAGGGAGGCTGGAGACATGGAGGCTGAGTGGTCCATGTTCTCCTCCTCCATCGTCACTGAGGCCGCTCGTAGTTGTCGTAAGGTCTCTGGTACCTGTCGCGGCAGCAATCCCCAAACCCGGTGGTGGCAGCCAGAAGCAAGGGATGCCGTCAAGCTGAAGAAGGAGTCTTACCTGTCATTTTTGGCTTGTGGGACTCCTGAGGCAGCTGACAGGTACCGGCAGGCCAAGCGTGCGGCAGCTCGAGCGGTCGCAGAGGCAAAAACTCGGGTCTGGGAGGAGTTTGGGGAGGCTGTGGAGGAGGACTATTGGTCGGCCTCGAAGAAATTCTGGCAAACCGTCCGGCGCCTCAGGAGGGGAAAGCAGCTCTCCACCAACACTGTTTACAGTGCAGGTGGGGACCTCCTGACCTCGACTGGGGAGGTCGTTGGGCGGTGGAAGGAATACTTCGAGGGTCTCCTCAATCC